ATCATAATACTAGAAATACTAGTACAACTTATACTGGAATTTCACTAAATGCCTACAATGTGCAGAGTATCACATGGGACCCGGGGGAGGACAGGGCACTGTTGTTTGAGGAGTTCCCTCGCTAATGTGACAGATCGGCAATTTATCGAACACCTATTTGGCCAGGAAACATTTCTCAGGCATTACTACGTGCCAGGACCAGCTGAGATTAGACATAGAATGAAAAAAAGAATACTGCACTCAAAAGCACAGAATTGAGAAGGACAGATATATCTGTGCACAAAAGGGAATGGCATTTTCTATGGTGTGAAGGAAAGGCTGGGGGCCAGGCTTCAGGACAGCCAGGGAAGAGCATTCCAGGGGAAGGCAATGTCGGGTACGAGGAGCAGAGGTGGAAAAGAGCCACAAGGGTCATCCCAGGCTGCAGAGGTGCCACTGTGGGTGTGCGGAGCAGGCGGCAGCCAGGGAGCACGTGGTAGTGCCATTACCTGTCTTCACAGTGGCATTAGGAGTGGCCTCACCTGAGAGATGGAAAGGACAGAGCATAGCTCAGTGGCTAGAGAAAAGGGGAGGCAAGAAGTGCACAGGAGCAGGAAAGGGTAACAAAGCATGGGGTACTCTGGGGAAATGGGGTGCCACAGGCTTGGGCCGCAGAGCTTATGGCTGGGGTGGGAGTGCAAGGAAGCACACTAGAAAGGTGGATGGGCCTGCATGTACCCCAACTCGCTTATGCTGTGGGCAACGAGGAAATGTCAAAGGCTTTTCACAAAGGAGGGTTGAAAATCTAACTCTGGCAGCAAGATAGAGATCTACTGAATCCTCCCAAAGGTCCTTTGTCACACCAACTCTTTGTATGGAAATTTATCATAAGGAAATAGTCAAGGACAAAAAGCTGGGTGAATAAATGAGCCTCATACAAATGCGACTTGAATATCCTGAAGTGTTACAATATGTTGCATGCATGTAGTAGAATATGCTGCCACTGTTAAGATGAACAGGCATTCACTGGTGCACTGACATGAACACGGTGCTTATATGATAGATAAAACTTGACCAGTATGATACAAATGGGACCCTCTTTCCTTAGATGCAAACATATGCACACACATGTGTACACAGGCGCATACAGAGTGAAAAGTTTCTGAAGAGGTTTGTGGTACCCTGAACTTTTGTATCAGTTATAGGAGGTGCGTGGGACTATGAGTTCTTCGTTTTTCTTTTTATCTTTTAAAAAAATAATGCTTTTAAAATTAAAGACAACTACAAAAGAAAAACATGCCAATTATGGTCCCAGGATATTTAGGAAGAGGTGTGGAATTCAGAACTGTGTGCTGAAGAATATGAAGCTCAAGAATCAATTGGAGGGCTGGCCAGATAACTCAGAGGGCTAAAGTGCCTGCTTAGGCAGACACAGGGACAGGGTTTGGATACCCAGTGTGCAGTATCCGCCCTGCCCCTGGGACGTACTGAGTCGGAGACTGAGACTGGGCGTGGTGGTGTGCGCCTGTAATCCCAGCACATGGGAGGCTGAAAACAGGAGGATCACTATGAGTTTGATATATTTACTAAATATATATCTTTTTTTTAAAAAAAATGAATTGGGCAGGAAGAAGATTCAAGGGCTAGCCAAGGTTTCTGACTTGGACCCCAGGGGGACCATGGTGCCACTCCCAGGAGAGACAGGTTTGAAGAAGGTTAAGGTTCCAGTTCTTGACACCTGGTGTCTGAGCTGCCTTAGAGATGCAGGGGTGGGGGAGGAGATGTGGTTGGCAGGTTGGTTTGGGTCAAGGGAGAAGCGAGTCAGTCTAGAGTTGAGTGTGGAAGAGCAAGAGCAGGACTGCTGGCTGGAGCTGGGAGTGCGTAAACGTGCCTAGGGGACACAGCTGGGATGAGAGCCACCATGGGAACTCAGCCCATTTCCCTTTATGACTCTCTCATTGAAGGGTGGCCCAGAAAGGGGTCCCAGCAGAGCCCACCAGAAACTAGACAGAGGGAGGAGCCCATGTCTGCCAGGAGGCCCGAGCCATAAGAGCTCCAAGGAGGAGGGATGGCCGTGTTCCCTCGCAGACCCTTAGTGTCCTCCCAGGAGCATGCGATAGGGATAGTTTCACTGTCACATGCACCTCAACACATACCTTGGTGTTGGGAATCAGGAGTGAGAGAAGACACAAAAGTCCTCAGAGGCTGTCAGGAAGGCCCCCTTTGTGGAAAGACCCTGTTCCAAAGAGTGGAAGGATAAGGGAGAGGAGGTCTCTGAGTCCTGTGAGCAAAAACAAACATTTCCAAGCCACTCTTTCCCCCGGAAGGAGTAGGACATGGAGGTGATCCTCTGGAGGACAGGAAGATGCATTTAATGACATGCCCCACTGCTCTGGGCTCTGGGCAGATGCTGAATTCATACATGCCCCACTGCTCTGGGCTTGGGCAGATGCAGAATTCATGCAGTGCTTTCTGCGAGGATGTTGGAGGAGATGAATCCACTGATTGCTCCTAGAAAATGAAATGTAAGAAACAAGGAAATAAGTAGAGCCCAACCACAGAGCTGGAGGAGTTCCCAGATGAGCTGCTCACCGGGAGATTGGAGCTCAAGGCAGGTTAAGCCCCGGCAGCACTGGGGCTGCCGACCCTGTTGCTGGGAGTCCAAGGAATGGACTTGAGGTCAGGCTTCCTGTGCTGTCATCAGGCTCCTGTGGGTCATGATGTTTAGCTCCTCCTTGTCTCAGTGGCCTCATCTGTAAAATAGGAATGCGAACAGTCACTTTACTCAAGCGGGTTGTAAGTGAGTCAGTCACCTCAATACAGGAAAAGCATTTGCACCCAGCATTGCACCTCATGAGCAGGAGTTGCCAGGCAAGGTCAGCTGTAAGTATCGCCCTTGTCGTCATTGTCATCACTGCCATCATTTTGTGCTTCTGATGACCTCGCTGCTTTGGCAACTCAGGAATAAAGAAATGGTCAAGTTGAGGAATGTTAATTCAGCAAGGCTAGTGAGGAGAAAGAGTAGCAAGGAGAAAGTTGGGATTTAGAAAGCCTTGCTTAGGCTAGAAGCTCTGAGGTTAGCAACAACTGTGATGTACAGTTTTAAAAGTAGACACACCAGCAATACTTTTGTAAATTGTATTTTGAGGTGCCTATGAAATTTAAGAGTTGCATGAGATATTAGATTGAGCAGTTGGGTAAAGGACTGAAAAATACGGTCCTGGAGTGAGAAATAGAGACAATTCAGAAAAGGTTAAAATAAAAGCGGTGGGCATTTCTCAGGGCTAGAGAGGGAGAAGGTGTGATTCATCTGACCTGAGGAGGGAAGCAAAGGCAGAGGCAGACAGTCTCGGGAGAGGCCCGGGTGATATCCCCAGAGTGAGCACCCGGCTGCTCAACAGCTGTCATGCTGGAAATCCCCGCTCCAGACTCCTGGCTTCTCCAAATTCCCCTGCTTCCTACTAGCTGACAAATAACAGCACGTTCATTATGGCTTATTGTGTGTCTGAGTACTTCTCGTCTAGCATCTGATTTAATCTTCATGGCAAAATGATAAGGTAGGCAGTATCTCTGTCTTAATTTTTCCAATGGGAAACTTAACACAGGGAGACAGGAAAGGCAGTATGTGATGGAGTTTACCTCACAGGGCCCCCCAGAGGGTCTGAGGTCCCTAACTCCATACCCTGAATCTCTGAAGGTCCAGCAACAATGGGAGGACAGCATTTTCTCATGATCTCTGGTGGGTCAGTGTAGAAACTCCTGTCCAGGCTCTTAGAGTTTTTCTGTTTTCAGCTTCATAGGCCTTCTTTCTACTTGCCACGAATCCTACCAAACAAGTATACCTTTAATCTAGACACTACCCCTCCAGTTCACCTGCATCACCTCTTAGCTTGGCTTAATCCATATTACTTTTCATGTGCTCTTCCTCATCTTCTAAGTTGTCAAATTATTATTTTAAACCTCATGCTCAAATTCCTCTGTCTTTATAGAACTTTCTCTCAAGTCTATCATCATTTTGTAACATTTAAAATTCCTTTTCGTCCCTTGATACCCTCTCCATGTGAGAAAGGTCTCTTTCCCTACTGCAGATTATTTATCTTTTATTTTGCTCTTTATTTGTAATTTGGGTTTCTCATATAAGAAAAATCATCCAACATTTAAGCTGTGTGTCTGATTTCTTTCCTATAAATGACTTGGGGAAGGATTTTTTTTTTTTTTTTTTTTGCTAGTTCTGGCTGCCTTAAGGGCAGGTATGGTGTGACTTGTGGGGCTGGGGATCGAACTGCGGTCCCCTGCACCTGACTGTATTTGCCCAAGTGGCACTTTAAACAACTGAGCTATAGGGCAAGCCCCCAACTTGGGAATTAATTAAAAAATGTGTCTTGGATGTGTGCAGTTCCAAACATGTACTGCAAACACATGCTAATAAAAATAAAAACAATTCTTACATTGTTATTCACACCTTTTATGTAAGTCAGTAAGTGTTTGTTTGTTCACTCACTAAACGTTTGTCCAGCACTCCTATGTGTCACTTGGTGACAGGAAGATGAGTGGAGCCCACCTGTAAAGCACTTATAGTCTAATGAGGGAAAGAGACATCAAACAAGTCATCATTGCCACAGTGAGCACTTTTTGGCAGGGCTGTGTTCAAAACAAGGTCAGCCTAGAGGAGTAGATGATCTTTGGAGAACTCAGAGAAAGCTGCCATTAGAGAATCTAACACACTACCCTGAGTCTTAAAGAACTGGGAGTGGTTCATTAGGTGACAGATGGGGGTAAGAGGTGGGGAGGAACATTCCAAGGCAGGGCACACCAGTTGCAAAGATATGGAGATATGGCTGGTAGCAGCATACGTTCGTGTCTTAACATATTTATGCCATTTTTTTTTTTTTCAGCTATGTGACATTTAACTAAGCCACTGAATCTGAATTTTGGGGCTGCTCCTGGTGGGCAGTTCCCAAGCCAGGAGACAAGTGGACCAGTGTAATCGACATGATGGGTGTTTGTTTTGCATTGTGCAGACGAGAGACGCTCTTACCACGATTCTCCATGACCTCCGACCCCAGGATCACTTCAGTGTCATTGGGTTTTCCAATCGGATCAAAGTGTGGAAGGACCACCTGGTACCAGTCACTCCTAGCAATGTCATCGATGGCAAATTCTACATTCACCTCATGTCGCCCAGCGGAGGTAAGCATGATCCTCCCTTGCACATCAGCTTTGACATGATAACAAGCTAATTTTCTGCCAAGACCTGAGGATCAGAAAACTGAAGCTGATTACAGGAAAAGAGGTAACAGGTGAGAGCTTTCCCAGAAGCTTATATTTCTCTAAATGCCAAATATCTAAATTCTCATCCTCAAGGCATCAAAATAAATTAGTCGAGTTATTGGGGCGGGGGAGGGTGCGGATACCTGTTAGGTATTTGGATGCTTTCCTGGCTTATCTTAGGGATCTGTAGAATAGAGCTGCTTTTGCTAACTTGTTCTTGGGCAGAGAACTACAGCGACCATTTGGCTAAGGGACGATTGTGGACATGAAAGGGCTTTGGGAGCTCCGAGTCATTGCACACTGGTCTTGATCATGTTGCCTGGTCAGTGTACAGAATATTAAGAGGACAGGGAAGGTCACAATTGTGCACCATGTAAGTTTCTTCAACTCAGGACCCGAGCCTTACATTCACAGGGCTAGTACAGGGGTCACTTAAGAAGTGTGCAGTGCTGGGGTACTTAGTGGGACCCAACCTGCCCTCTGTCCCCTTTATTAAAGCCCCTTGACAGAGACACTGTCTTCTGAAGCTGTCATCTTAACTAATATCTCTGATTATCTGGAAACATTTGACACATGTAGCTTACTTAGTCTTACCCCATTTGAGATTTCTTCCATTTTTATATATTTTTTCCTATTCAAGACATTTGCTTTCCCAAATGAATTTCTTTTGGAACTTGATCTTGCCTCCCTGGTACTTAGGCCTACCATGGTATTTCTTTCCAATCTTCAAAAACAATGTACTCTAAGAACTGTTTTATTATTTCGTGAGAGAAAGGAAAGATTATATTTAATATTATATGTCTTGTCTCTGGCAAGAATCTGATAAGACTGTAGAGTACTAGAGGAAAGAGATTCCTCTTCATCTTCACTGGTCCTGTTCCTAGCATAGTTACTGACACACCGTGCATGCTCAATACATTTGCTAAACTGAGCTTATTTAATTGTATGTCTGTGTTGGAGGGAGGTGCCAAACGGCTCCAGGAAGTAGCTGTTATACACTGTATTTGTTTGGAATCTAAACCTTAGAAACCCTACCAGTTTTCTCTTTCTTGTTCTACTATGCAGGTGAAAAGCGGATTAATCTACAAAGTGGAACTTCAGAGTCAGAAGTGTAGATTCTGATGTGTGTGATTTTTTTTTTTTTTAATTGGAAATCAAACTCACGACCTTGTGCTTCCAAGGCCTGCGCTGTGTCCCTGCACTGTCTCCCTGGCCTGGAAGTATATATTCTGAAGCCAGCCTAGATTTGAATACACCATTAGCCAATTAACTTCCATCTGTAAGAGGATAATAAAGGAGCTGTTACTGGGATCAGATGAGTTAAAATATTTAAAGTGTTTAGACCAGCCCTGGTGTATAGGAAGTCCTCTCTATGATATGGTGCTTCTACCCACCTGAGCTGTGTGCCCTTCCTGAGGTCCCAGGGCTCTGGATGGCAGGATCAGGCAGCCCCAGAGGTCTCTTCTTGCAGAGAAGGCTTCCCTGTTGCTGAGTGGACTGGGACTGCCCCACCTTGAGGTAGGCTCCATTCCAAGCCCCACAGCGCCTTTGGCACCTGTGTGCAATCAGCGAAGCTAAATCCATCCTTTGGCCCTAGCTTTCCTTGGCTCTGAAGAGGAGTGAGAGATTTGGCACCGCTGCTAAGTGCAAATTACAAAGAATACAACACCTGCCAGTTAGTATGTGCTCACTCACCCAGGGGCAGTGAGAAAGGAGAGCGGCGTTCTGAAAGGCAAATGAATGATTCCAAAGAAATATTAAAGACTATTTCAGCTGTAGCTTTCCCTTCTATTTGGAATCTGAATGCATCCTCCCAGGAATTATAAATATTTTTGTCACAAGCATGAACTTACCTATTTTTCTTTAAAGCTAGAAATTCTGGAGGATTTAAGGTAATGAGGAAATGATCTGCCTTTTCAAACTCTGTACATTTTGCAGGTAGCTAATCGGTCTAGGCAGGATGACATGGGGTGGTTGTGGTTAAGAGCTCTACATTTACTAAAAATAATGAAGTTGGTGCTTATGTTTTTGTCATGCAATTTTAGCTCAAGCCATTAAAAATAAATTAAACTAAAAATTTTTGGCATGTGAATTTTTCTCAAGCTACTGGGACAGTGACTGAAGGATCTAGGTGTTCGTGCTGATCAGCACTCCAACCCTGCTTGGTGGTGGGGGACAGGAGCAGCTCAGCCGAGTGAAATTCTTGGCTAAGCCAGAAACTGTGCTTTACCCGGAGGCTCAGCCTCACCACCACCCCCATCTTCCATATACCAAACGAGTCCATGTTTGCCTCCTTCTGCAGTTCTTGTCACACAGCTTTAATCAGAGCTGCTGATGACAAGCACTTTTCTAAAGGAAAATTTTCAGGGTCCAGGAGTGTGCATTTCAGTAGCTCCTTCTTGTCATGGATTCTACTAATCAGAGCTGGCCTGGAGGTGCAGCAGGCACAGGAGGGAGAGGCAATGAAGGGGCTGGCTAGTGTGTCAGCATCATCCAGTGACGTTTGAGGTCACCTGAGATGGTGTCGGTTCGTCCCACCCAGCTCTCTTAGTCTGTGCGTCTTTCTTCTCTCTGCTATTCTTTCTCCCTTCAAGTTCCTGTGCCCAGCACTTTCCTGTTCTTTTCAAAGCCAGTCTCAGAAAAGGGGGCATAAGCCATTAAATCTGGGGTACTGAAAACTCCTACCTGGAGATGTCATTGGTTACCTGCAGAAGAAGGTTTTTGCAGTGAGATTGTTGCATGTCATTTATGTGCACCTTGCAAACACTCATGTTTTAGCTAAGATGAGAGCTCCATGCAGCTGTGGCCGTGTGCTCCGGTTCAGAAGGTGGTGCAGAGGTGTGAGCCATCCTGCGTTTTGTCCCACAGGCACAGACATCAATGGGGCGCTCCAGGCAGCCATCAAGCTCCTCAACAACTACGTGTCCCACAATGACATTGAAGACCGGAGTGTGTCCCTTGTCATCTTTCTGACAGATGGGAAGCCCACAGTAGGGGAGACCCAAGCCTCCAAGATTCTCAACAATACCAAGGAGGCTGCCCAGGGTCAGATCTGCATCTTCAGTGTTGGCATTGGCAATGATGTGGACTTCAAGCTGCTGGAGAAACTGTCATTGGACAACTGTGGCACCACACGGCGCGTGCTTGAGGAGGAGAATGCGGGTGCACAGCTCATTGGGTTTGTTTTTTCTTCTCAGAAAGGGGATATGTTATCTGAGGCTGCAGGGGGTCAGATTCAATAGAAATTCAGACAGAAGGGGTTTTTTTTTGGGGGGGGAATGTGTTCTTGCTATACCTTTTTTTTTTCCACAACTGGGGATCGAACTTGGGACCTTGTGCTTGCTAGGCAGGTGCTTAAGCTACTGAACTATCTCCCTGGTTGCTTGCTATACCTTCCATCTACTCAAAATGTTCCTAGGTCACTGATCTCATCCTGGGTTTGGAAACTAGGCATATCAGGGTTCAAATTCTAGCCTTCTGTCTGTGCTTCAGTTTCCTCGTCTGTAAAATGAGAATTGTGGTTGGCTGACAGAATTTAAAGAATGTTTGTAACTGAGTGGCACAATGGCTGTTCTGTATTAGGTGTTCAGTGAGCTCTTATGGTTGTAATTGCCTTCTTGAGATTTCAAGTACAGTTAAATGATTATCTTTTAATTTGGAAGGAAATGAGCCTGTTTAAACTGATGAGCTGTCAGATTCTTATTTTGAGGTAGAGAACAAACCAGAATTTAGGCTTTCTAACTCCAAGGTGGCTTCTCTTGGATACCACAATGCCAAACACAGTGTGTGATTTTGCAGCTAATGCAGTGGAGTGTCCACTTCCACCTCAGTGTGCTCTGATGTCATCTACATTGCTTTATAATTTTTAAAAGTATTCTTGTACATGTTCATAGTAATTAATAATTTTTTTTTTCCGTACTGGAGATTGAACTCAGGACCTTGCGCTTGCCAGGAAAGTGCTTATTCTACTGAGCCATCCCATCTCCCCAGCGCTTTTTTTTTTTTTTTTTTCTGTGCAGGGTCTTACTACACAGCCCAGACTCATAGTGATCCTCCTGATTTCTGCCTCCCTAGTGCTGGGATTACAGGGGCGCGCCACCACACCCAGACACCATTGCTGGCTCAGCACGCCCCGGGGGTGGGGCCAGTGCTGCATGCAGAACCAGGGATCGAACCTTGGTCCCTGTGCTTACCTAAGCAAGCATTTAGTAACATTCATCACAGGGAGTTGGTACATATACACAGCACATCTTAGTTCTTTTTCTTCTTTCTTTCTTTTTTCTTTTTTCTCTTTTTTTTTTGTACCAGGAATAGAACTCATGGCCTTGTGCTTGCAGGCGCTTATGCTGTGGAGCTATCTCCCCCACCACATCTTAATTCTTGACACAGCTGGCATATACTGTAAAGTAGAGGTGAGGTTGAGGTACATTTATAGATGTTCAATGGCTATAACCAAAAAAATTTAGTGATGATAAGTCTCACTGAAATTCTTGAGTTTACAATGAAGACAGGTGGCTAATGTCGAACTGGCTACCGGCTTTCTTCCAGAATTTTACAGAACATCTAAATGAAAATAGAGATTTATTTCCTATATTGTAAAAGTTTTCAAAACCAGATTCGGGTAGCAGTGAATGCGCTGTATAACAGAACTGAGAGAAATGAGATTCGTGAAGAGGCTCACAGTAAAAGTAATTATATGGAAACTGATGAACTGCCCTGTTCGTAGTACTAAAAATATTATCCACCCTAATACCGAGGACCTAAAATGCATCCGCATTTATGACACATCATTTCATGCAACCCTAACAAAGTCCTAAAACCCACTTATTTATTGCAAAGTGCTGACACTGTAATTAACCCTGAATACTGAGATTTTTACTTCAGATAAAACAACTCATACATTAACTTTTTTTGTCTTAAGAGAAAAATGAACGACACGTACACCACAGGTTCACCCCCACTGGCCCAGGAGGTACTAGGTATATTAGGGTAGATACTACGCTGCCAATCAGAGGTGGCCAGGTACAAAGGCTAATGTAACACAGCCCTACATTTCTTCCTCCTGTGGTAAGGGATCGGCTAAATTCTGCTTCATGCAATCATCAGACACTCACTTGGGTTCTTTCTAGTTTATTGCTCTGACTCACATACTTAGGTATTGTCCTTAACCTGAAGGTTGAAATTAAGGTCACTATCATTCTATATTGAAGCCTCAGAAAAAAAGAGAAAGAAAAGGAAAGCCTACTTCATTTAAAGCAAATGTCTTGGAAGTTACACATATCACTTATATTCCATTGGTAACATTATGGTCATGTGGCCAGGAAACATCTTTAGTAGGACATGTGATTTGTTAGAACTCATGTATAAAAGAAAGGGAGAATGGAGTTGGCGACCTAGTCAGTGATCTGCCAGAGTAGTTCTGTACTGACTGAGCATCCGGATTTCATACATGAATCAACTGTGCCATTTCCTAGACACAGAGCAAGGGTGTGATTGGGATGGAAGTTGAGCTGCACACCCTGCGCTGGGTAGATCCTGGAAAAGGGATTTTGGTTGTGCCCTTTCTTGGCAAGAAGCAGCCACATGACAGGACCACAAGAAAAGCTGTCAGAAACAAATATAGAATTAAGCAAAAGCAAGATGCTAAAGTCAAGGTCAGATCTCCCAACTGCTACTTAAAATGTATTTGTAACATCCATTTGATTTTTAAGAGAAATGTTTTCAGGAGCCCTTTGAGAAGCTTAGGTGTGCACAAGGGAAATGTATCAAGAGTTGTGAGGGGGATCTTGAAGTTGTATCACAGGAAGAATAATTCAAGAAACAGATGTCGATTAGGCTGCATAAAAAGAAGACTTCCAGAGACACACAGCCATGTCTTTTGAGCATCTCTGTGGCTGTCTTGTTGAAGATGGCTAGACTCATTCTCTGTTGCCTCAGAAGAACACTAGAAATTTCAGGGAGGAAGAACTTGACCAGTGCTAAGGTTGTTCTCTCTCGTCATCAGAGCAGTTGACAGAGAGGCTCAGGATCACTGTGAGAACGTGAGTACCTTCTCACTGGAGGAATTTGAGCTCCTTCTGGGCATCCTCTGTCACAAAGATTGTGCTGGGGACTGATGGACTTGATCACTCCAGTCAGCTCATCCCTATGAGAGTGTCACTTGCTTTAGGATGGTCTCACTTGCTGCCAGCCAGGCCCTCATTCTCTCTCTGTTCCTCTGCTGCAGGTTCTATGATGAGATCAGGACCCCTCTACTTTCTGACATCCGCATCGATTATCCCTCTGGCTTAGTGGAACACGTCACCAAAACTGTGTTCCCCAACTACTTCAATGGCTCTGAGATTGTTATTGCTGGGAAGCTGGTAGACAGGAAGATGGATCAGCTGCATGTGAAGGTCACTGCCAGCAACAGTAAGAAATTTGTCATCCTAAAGACAGATGTGCCTGTGGAGCCTCAGAAGGTGAGGAATGGTGTCCCGGGAAGCCCCAGTTCCAGAGGTGATGGCGAGGAGGACCCCAACCACATCGAGCATGTCTGGAGCTACCTCACTGTGAAGGAGCTGCTGAGTTCCTGGCTACAGAGTGACAATGAGCAGGAGAAGGAGAGGTTGAGGCAGAAGGCGCAGGACCTGGCCATGAGCTACCACTTCCTCACCCCCTTCACCTCCATGAAGCTGAGGGGGCCAGTGCTTCAGGAGGACACACTGGAGGTCACCCGGGGCATGTCTGCTGCAACAGGCCCTGAAACGGTGATGCAGAGCCTTCGGGGATCCACCACACAACCAGGTAGCACAGTTCCTGTGTGGCCAGGCTGACCTGGGACTGAGTGTTCCTTCTGATGCTTTGTAAGCCCACAGCAACCTCAGCAGGAATCTGTTTTATTTTATCAGATTGTAATTTTTATAAATAAGGGCCCTGCATGCAGCAGGTAATCTGCAGAAAGTATGTGGGATCATGGGTTTGGCTTGTTATAAACTGTGGCTCTCAAAGGAAGTGAAAACAAAGTGTGTGGGCTGTGAAACATGGCCAGTGGCCAGCCAGTCAATAAGTTATCCTTAAATCCAGTGACTGCCACATGTCAGGCACAACTGGGGGCACCAAGATGAACACACAATGCAAATTTTCAGTTTTAAGTGCCTTTTTAGTTTTTTTAAACTTCAGAATTGGGCCGGTGAGAGAGCTCAGCAGTCTAAAGCCCTGCTTAGGCAGGAACAGGGGACCAAAGTTTGATTCCTCGCCCCCTACCCCCCACTCCTGCACTACATGCCACTGCCAGCCCTGCCCTCAGGGCGGCTGAGCAGGCCAAAAGGGAAAAAAACAAAAACAAAAAACCTTCAGAGTTAGGTTAGTTCATGTGTAAATTGTTTTTACTTTCTTGAGAAAGTTTGAAGGGCCGTGATATCGATGCTTGAGAGAATCTACCCAGAATTTAAGCAGACACAGCTGTGCTGACTTTTGTCGGCAGTTTGATGGGAGGGAATTCCTAGAGACAGGAACAAGAGGAAGGAAAGTCTGTAGGACCGAAGGAAAGGGGTATTCTGGGTAATGCCCATTTGTAGAGTGGCATGTTGTGACATCTAGCATTTTTACTAGGTTCTTGTCAAGTTTCCTTCAGCTAAGAAAGGGAGCAGAAGTTAGCCCGACCCTGTGTGAGATCGCTCCCAGATGATGTCTTCTTTATTCTTTACACTCTAATCTAGGGTGCTCACCAGTGGGAGGAGGCAATGGGAAGTCAGGACCCAGAGATCCTCTGGGGCATCTGTGAAGCCTAGGTCAGATTCTTGTACTTCTTTGAGCCTGCATTTCCATGCCTGTAAAATCTGGGGCAATAGGAATGCTCCTGAAGAGCCATCGTGAGCGTTAGTATGGAAGGTCTTTAGCACGTAACGAGTGTTCTATAAACATGAGCCATTGTCTCCCAAGAGATATGGGATGCTAGAAATTTATTGAGAAGTACAAACCCTTCTAGAAAAACAGTGAAGATTTTAGAAAGCATGGAGCCTTTCTAAAATCTGGTGCAATTTTTATTATGATTAAAAGCAGGCTGTTGGAAAGTATTAATTCATACCAAGCTCATCCATGCCATTTCCAGGAACAATGCCTTGGAGTAAGGTCATCTATTGTGTGTCAGCAACTCAAATCTCAGTAGATTCAGGAGAGAGTGGACACAAATGATAATAGACTCAGAGGACCAGGTACACAGACAAGGAAACAGCCACCATTGTTTATTTATTCTTATTGTTTAAAGGAGATTTTTCAGATAAGATTTTGCTGAAGTGTCAGTGATGGTGCAAGACAGCTCTCCTTTTCCCAGAACTCTCATGTTGTGATTTTTTGGGTGTCTACGGCAGCTGCTACTCCACCCCCTACCCCATGCCCATCCCCGGTACTGAGAGTTCAACCCAGGACCTTCACACTGAGGACCTGCGATCACCAGCCTTTTTAAAATTTTTACCTTTTGAGACAAAGTCTAGCTAATTTGTCCAGGCTGAGCTTGAACTTGGAATTTTCTTGCCTCAGCCTCCCAGAGTGTTGGGATTCCAGGCATGTGCCACTGTGCCTGGCAAAGCTTCCACAGAGCACTCTGTCCTTCTGGCCCTTCAGTACTCTGCCACCAGGGACTAGAAGAGAGAGTGCTTAAAAAACGTTTAGATCCTTTTATCTTTATTTTCTCCAAGGCTAAAGACGTATGAAGAGGAACATACTCTACTTCATCCAAGATTCGAAGTAAGATAGTGATCTTACAGAAAATAATTTATTTTGAGCTTATATATTCATGGAATACTTATTCAGCTAAGTCACTTTGCTTTTTGTTTTGTTCTGTCTTGTTGTCTTGGTTTTTTGAGACAGAGCCTGACTATGTAGTTCAGGCTAGCCTTGAACTCACTTCATAGCCCAGGCTGGCCTCAAACTCATGGTGATCTTCCTCCCTCAGCCTCCTGAGTGCTGGGATTACAGGCACACACCACCATGCTTGGCTCTCAGTGAGTGAAGTTCCTTTGAGTGCTTGGTATTTCAGAGATTTATGAATTAAGCTTACACATATTGTTGTGGACACTGGATTTTAACTGTACCTTTTGATTTTAGCTTTTTCGTTTTAAAAGCCACACAACATGAAATTTACCCTTGTAACCCTTTTTAAGTGTACAGGCCAGTAGTGTTACATATATTCACAAAGGTCACAGAAAATGAAAATATTATCTAGAAGGTAAAGAATAAAATAATTGTGGCCAATGAGACAGCTCAGCGATCTAAAGCACCTACTTAGGCAAGCTTAGTCAGGAGCAGGGGACTGTGGTTTGATCCCCGGCACCACACGCTGCACCAGCCCCACCCTCAGGGCAGGCTGAGCCAGCCAAAGTAAATCAATAAATAAATAAAATGATTAAACTGCTGCAGTTTATATCTCAGTTGTGTCTTTTGAGGCCAGCCTCTCTCTTTAAAATAAATGAAGTTTTAAAGAGCTCTGGATCATTTCAGCTGTTACAAGGGCATGAAAGCTGGGTGCCATTCATTTCAGCTGCTCTTCTGTCTGACTGCATCATCTTTAGTGAATGAGAGTGTCTTTTCTCTTCCTTTCCTTCTCAGGACCTATGCTCAAGAAACTCCACAACCCAAGAATCAAACTCTCTAAGACATCAGGTAAAGAAAACGGTGTGGCTGAGTGTGACTGGAGGTGAGGAGTTCCCTGAAGCCAGTTGGCATCGCGGCCCACTTCTCAGGTCTGCTCTGTGAGGCAGACGCTAAGATCCAGGACAGCTGTGAGCCACTGCCTAAACCCCATGGAGGGCCCACAGGCTCCAGGAAGCCTGGCAAGGGCCCCATGGAAGAAGAGAAGCAGAAGCGCGTTCTGCCTGTGGCTGGGTTTCAGAGCACTGGCTTTGGAGATTTGAAATATATGGGATTTCAGCTGCAGGGGTCACAGATACAAAAAACAGAGTTATAAAGATATAAATGTCTGGAGGGATTGGCAGGATTTTGTGTGTGTGTGTGTGTGTGTGTGTGTGTGTGTGTGTGTGTTTTTTTTTTTTTTTTAAACCTTGGCCTTAGAAGGAAAAGAACAGATTTTAAAGGCCATAAAATTTTCTTTTGACAACCTCCCAGGGTGATAATAAAAGTCAGGATAGGGCGGCCAGGTTTTATTCTTCCAATGGCTGTGTTAGAGAAAATCTGGCTGCTCTCACTAGGAAGGGCCCTGAACCCCTGTGAAAGGCAGAATATAAAGAAATGTGGCTGCTTGTTTTTTGATGATGGAAAAAAAATAATGGCATACTGAGGCGACCAAAGTTTTCACCCACAATGTTGCATGCTTTAGGTGTGGCTTGTGTGACAATTCTCTGAGAGTTCTTACCGCAACCAAACTCACCATTTCTACTCAGAACAACCAAATCTCTTTATAAGTAAAAAATGTTGCTTGCTAAAAGAAAAAAAAATCAGGGAGAGTCCAAAAGTGATTAGCACAGGCAGCATCCTAGAGGAGGGTGGTCTTGCGTTCCACAGAGCACGCGTTCAGAGGCACTGCATCCCATCCGTGGCAGCCTGTGCATTACTGTCCCTGTCACTGAGCTCCGGGACATGCCTGTTTTATGGACCTGCATGTATAGCATGCTTGTCAAAAGCAACAGTGGAGCTTTTCTCCTCAGGGTGTCAAGGGCCCTTCCAAGTGACGCTGTGCTTTCAGCAGTTACCAAGAGAGCATGAACTCACTTTCAGCTTGAAGAGACCAGGCTCTGCCTGACCACACGTCTAGCACATGCATGCACACACTCGTTCTTAGTATTCCTGAGCCATGTGCTTCATATCCAAGCCAGAGAGAGACTGCATCTGCACTCTAGCAAGAGAGAGAGAAGAGTTGATGTTGACCTTCAGGAAATATTTGGTCTGTGCAGTAAAGAGGCAGGCTGTTCACGACTAGCCGAGGTGATGATGGGAGAGTAAACGGGGACTGGGGCCAGCTGCACTTCATGGGCCCAACTGCAGACAAACAGCTGAGAGCAATAAAGTCAGTGTGACCGCAAGGAGTGATTCCACTGGCATCCCTAGCTCTCCTGCCCACCCTCCTAGTGACTCTATGCTATTTGTCATTGCCCTCAAGTGGGGCCAGCTTCTTAGTGCCTTTAGGCAAGGGCGGCATACAGCCGGGCCTGTGGAGGCTTATGACAGAGCCCAGTTGTGCACACTTCACTGAGGTCTGGTGAACAGAGCATTAGATCTGTGCTTAGAAGACCTGTTATCAATGTTTTCCAGCCACTTGTGAGTGAGTCTAGGGAGTCACTTCCTTCCCTTGCATTGCCTTATTTAGAAACTTCCTCCCAGTGCTATCCTTGGGAGTCAATGCATAATTACACGTGGAAGGCGGGCAGTGAGTTTCTCTCCTTCTCTCTGCGTTCTCTCCCTGACAGTGGATGGTGATCCCCATTTTGTTGTGGATTTCCCTCTGAGCAAACTCACCGTCTGCTTTAACATCGATGGACAGCCGGGGGACATCCTACGGCTGGTCTCTGATCACATGGGCTCCGGTAAGTCCTGCCCTTCCTGTATCAGGGAGGTGTGCTCCCCACCTGTGTTTTTAGGCTGAATGACCTGCTGTATAAGGAACATGGGGGATGCCCAGTGGATGCTGTGGTGATTGGCTGCAGGGATTGGAGGCTCCCAATTTGGAGTCAGAGCAGGGTGCACTCAGCTTACACTGCACAGCCTCAGTGTGGCCCTGAGCACAGGCTGTCATGCTGCAGTGGTCTTCCTTGTAGAACAGAGACAGTGGGGCTCTGCTGGCCTCATAGGACATCATGAAGTAAATCCAATGAAATAAAGGATATGAAGTAGCTTCAAAAATGCTCAAGTGTTATAGAAGCTTCATAACATCATTGCTGCTGCTATGTCTTTTCATTGAAGTGCTCTAATAGTGGGGAGGTAGGAGGTCCAAACTCATACATCCTAGTTCTGTGATAATGTAGAAGTAAGGCCCAGTTGCTGTGTGTATCAGTGGTATAGTGGGGCTGGGGAAAGATGTCAGCACAGAAAGGGTGTTGTTCAGGGCAAGGTAACAATGCTTGGGGACAACACTGCAGACTGTCACACAGCCTGGCTTTTTTGGGAACCATCTGGTATTTCTCAGTGCTGAGAAAACGAGGGGCTTAGAAGTTCAGGTTGCAAAGGGCTGGGGAGATAGCTCAGTAGAATAAGCACTTCCCTGGAAAGAGCAAGGGTCTGAGTTCAATCCCCGGTTCTGCCAAAAAAAAAAAAAAAAAAAAGCAATTAAAAAAACCCCTAATTTAAGGCTTTCACAGAGAGCACATTGGCCAAACAATGGCCGTGACTCATCCGCATGGCTGCACTGATAAAGGTTCTACAATCTGAGGTACAGGATCTCAGGACAAATCCTGAGGGCATTTCACTGACCTTCTCAGACCAAAAAGCTACAACTCTTGTTGCATAGGTCCTGCTTTACCTTGGTCTTAACCATCCAGCAGAAAAGTATGAAGACGAAATTATAAGAAATAAAGCCATGCTGTTAAGTTGAGCTGTGGGGGACTCAGGTCAATAATTTCTGACATTGTCAGTTAAACAGAAGACCCAATGCTATTATGGGCTACTGGACTCTTTTAGAATATTTTGCTGAGTTTACACACCTATAATATTCAATAACAGAACTTAGAAAAAATGGGGCATACAGATGAATGTCCATTTTGTATCTGTGTATTCAAAGTGGTTGGGATAGATATATAGTTACATTCTGTTAATGAATAGAATGATTTGTTCTAATGGTGTTTGTAAATAGGATCACAAGTCCATGTCTTATACAGCAATTAACCACTAAGAAGAATATATGCAGTGTATTATTTGTTGAAACTGTACTTTCGATTTGATTTGAAACTGTCTCATTGCTGTTTATCAATAAAACTTTGAAAAAAAAAAAAAAAGAAGTTCAGGTTGCAGAGTGTCCCCCAGCAAGGTGACATGCATGATGTATTTGTGTGAGATTTGGTCCTAGTTCTTGATTAGGTTGTTTTCTTGCAGGCCTTCCTAGCTTCAAAGCCAAGTTTCTGATGTCTGTAATACCACAGGGTGCAGGGAAGAGACAGTGACCCAACTATGTGGCTCTCTGAATACTCTTTCTCCTGGGAGCTGTTCCCATGGTTTCTAAATTCCTTGAGTTGTGCAAGACAGCGCTTCAGCCTGGGTGGTGAGAGCTCTGAGGCCAAGAGCAGGGATTCGGCTCTGGCGGGGACTGCTCCTCTCCCCCATGCTTTGGCCAGGAAGTCACTTTTTTCCTTGTATATCTAAGAAGTTGCTAGTCAAGATTTATTAGGAAGACCATCCTCAAAGCAGAGAAAGCAAGAGTTAATTATATAGCAATCTTTATTAAAAATTGCGGCTTTGCCTGAGAACAAAGCAGATCTAATATGCATCAGCTTACTTGTTCTCAGACGTCTTCTGCGCAGTGGCACCTGCTTGCTGTCCAGCCCCACAGCAGGGCACCCTGGCGTTTGCCCGTGGCCTCATGGGAGAGATGAGTCCAGAAAAGCTGTGCTCACCTCAGGATGGGGCAGGGCAGAAAGCAACTAATGTCTGATGGCACTACATAGCGCGTACATATCCTACCCCTTGCGTCCTCATGAAAGTTCCCTTAGATTTTTATAGCCTCCTCATTTCCCAAAATGAGGGAATTGAAGATTAATTTTTTAATGGTTTTGTCTAAGGGTGCATGCATAGTAAGTAGAAACACTTGAGTTTTAGGAATAAAAATTTTCTAATTTAGATTCTATCCCCTCTGCTCCAAGAGTTTTTCTAGGTTAGGATCAGTGGCAACTGGTAAATACAAAACACACATCAGGACCCACAAGACCTGTGCCACTATAACCAGACCTTGGAATAAAGGCACGCGAGTATGCAAGCCCTTCTGTGATACCTTGACCCAAACCTGAAGCCTCCTTCCCCCATTCCAAGGTGCTAATCAAGTGCAATGGAAACTCCCTTGTAGCTTCATGCATTCAGACTTACATGGTGACCACCAAGTGGCTTGAACCAAGTGGCTTAGACATGGAGTTGGTGTTGGTGGTGCTAGAGCCATGAAGAGAGGGAAGGAGGAAGAGAGTTCTTAGCAGGCAAACCCGTTTTCTAACCACTGTTGTCTTCCTCTCACTTTTGAGGTGTGACAGTGAATGGCGAGTTAATCGGGGCCCCTGCTCCCCCAAATGGTCACAAGAAGCAGCGCACTTACTTCGGCACCATCACCATCCTCATCAATCAGCCTGAGAGATCCTACCTGGAGATCACACCCAGCAGAATCATCTTAGACGGGGGCGACAGGCTGGTCCTCCCTTGCAACCAGAGCACAATAGTGGGGAGCCGCGGGCTGGAGGTGGCTGTGTCTGCCAACGCCAACGTCACTGTCACCATCCAGGGGACCATAGCCTTTGTTGTCCTCATTCACCTCTACAAAAAGCCAGCACCATTCCAGCGAAACCACTTGGGCTTCTACATCTCCAACAGCAAAGGCCTTTCCAGCAAGTGCCACGGACTGCTAGGTAGGGCCGCTGGCGCTTTTTGTGGGTTCACAGGAGTTACATTTCCCAAGTGAAATCTAGCCTCCAAATTGTTAGATTGATTGAGAAGTTTAGTAGGCGTTTGGTCCTTGCATATACAGATGTCCCTTGGTACCCACAGGGGTGTGGTTTCAGGATCTCCCAAGAATACCAGAATCCAAGGATGGGTAAGCCCTCACCTCAGGCAGTGTCATATTTGTATAAAGTTTGCACACATTTTCCTCTTTGCTGTTAAATTATCTCTAGATTACTTCCCACACCTGTACTCTATAATACCATGTAAATAGTTGCTATACTGTATTGTTTAGGGAATAATAACAAGGAAAAAAGTTGTGTTCAGTACAGGTGCATTTTCTTCCAAATGTTTTCAGTCTGCAGCTGATATAATCCACAGATGCAGAATCCCCTGGGTACAGAGGGCTGACTGCGTGTATATGAAAATTAGATTTCTTGCCTCCTAATGATTTCCGGCATAGAAGTAAGCACTGTAAACCAGTTCTCACTAGTCTTCTGGGAAAGAGAACAAAGACAGAGAGAGTAATCATCTTAAGATCTGGTTCCTTGTCCCTCTGTGAAGACACAGAGAAAGGACAGCCCGTGGCCCAGGCCCAGCACAACGGACAGATGCCTTTCCTAGGCGTCACAGCACTGCTGTGGGAGCCAGAGGCCACCTTGGCCCGTCTTCTTCCGCGTGCAATTTCATGTGGGCCTCTTGCCCAAAACTAAAGGATGAGCTGCTGCCAGGACTGGGTTTAGAAAGCTTCCTGGCATTTGAGCTGGCCGCGTCCTGCCCAGCTGATGCCAAGCAGAGGCTCCGTCTCACACAGGCAGGTCTGTGCTGCCCTGGCTTGAGCACTCCCGCTGTTTGACCTACAAAAGTCTGAGGATGAGTGTCAGGCATAGCCTGAACCGACGACTCCACACCCCATGCTGGTGTGTGCCCACCACATGGAGCGCAAGGAGGGGGTTTGCACCCAGGCCCCACTTATCTGTGTTTGCCATGACCTCCAGATTCCACAGCAGGCCACTTGTCTCCAGTTGCCAGACAGGTGATTTCTTACTAAGTGCAGAGGCCAGTGCTCTCCTCTCCAGGGTATGTCACCAGGCTGGACAGTGTATGACGGCCTCAAGGGAGATTCCAGCCTAGGGTTGTGTTCAGTGGGAAGCCCTTCTGCCCAGCTGACCATGGTGACACACATCTGTAAACCCAGCAGGACCCTGCCTCAAAATAGTAAATTAGGGCTGAGGAGACAGCTCAGTGTTCCAAGTGCCTGACCAGCAAACACTAGGTCCTGAGTTCGATCCCCGGTACTGTATGACATGCCAACCTCGTGCTGAGCCAGCCACCGAAACTGGGTGCAGTGGTGCACACCTGTAATCCCAGTGCTGTGGAGGCTGAGGCAGGAGGATCACTATAAGTCCAAGCTTCATAGTGAGACCCTGTACCAAATAAATAAATAAATAAAATAAAAAAGAGGTTGGGGATGTGCCTCCATGTGAAGGCCCTGGCTTCATCCTCCAGTACCATAAACAAAGAAACAATCATTTTGACACTGCTGCTGCTGCTAGACTACAGTGGTTATCTGCAATTAGCTAACCTCAATGCAGTTAGGAAAACTTTTTATTAGGATATGTTTGCAACACATATTACATACATCAGTCTTGGGAAATTCATATAAAACCATGTCTCTTAATCATTTCTGTCCCGATTTCACACATACCCTGTCCATCTCCACAGAGCATCCTTCCTGTCCCCATCACCTGTCTTTTTTTGAGTGGGGGGGGGGCAGAACCAGCGATTGAACTCAGGCTGCACTTATTACTGAACCATCTCCCCAGCCCATCATCTGTCTTTTATTTTGCTCTTCAGATGATTTATATTTTGTGTCTCTTTGTCTTCCCAGGTCAGTTCCTGGACCAGGAGACCAAACTCACTGAGGAGCCTGCTGGACACAGCACAAACCTTACCAATCCTCCCCTCCCCTGGGCAGAAGGGACACCTGAGACCTTCCTTCAGGTGAAAGGGCACCGAGTCCCAGTGGTCTGGAAACAAAGGAAGATTTACAATGGTGAGGAGCAGATAGACTGCTGGTTTGCCAGGAACAATGCTGCCAAGCTGATTGATGGGGTGTACAAGGATTACCTGGCATCTCATCCATTTGACACAGCAACAACTTTGGGGCTGGGAGGGTTCAATGGATCTGAACCCAGCAGCCTTAATTGAAGACAGTGCATGAAAGGGGAGTGACTGTGGGGGACTCCAAGGCACAGCTATCCTTGTTACCCCATGCTCTTGCAGTGAGCTGCACTCTGCAGCTTAGGGCTGATGTCTGCTGGAGTGGGGGTAAGGCAGAAAGCCGAGTGAAGACATTGTTTTCTTCCTCCTCCTCCTCCTTCCTCTTCCTTCCCTTGCAGTCCCCAGCCCTTGGTAGACAAAACAGGTAGCATCAAGTGAAGAAAGGCCACAGTTCAAAGCATGAAAGCATTTATCTTGTACCATCTGGCTTGTCCCTTGTACCTTCCAAAAGCTAACTCCTTCCAGGGTAACAAGGTTGTCATGAAATTTATTTTCCTTGTAGAAATGACCAAATTCTACTCTCTGCATTATATTCATATCTAGGAATTTCTCCTTTGTTCTGCTGTGTTCTCCAGATGTTCCACCCCTGAACTTTTTCTCAGAGACACTTTCCACTAAGCCCCAGGCTTAGTGATCATCCAAACAGTATACAAATTAGATGACTGTAAATAATTAAGGGTTTTTTTTTTTAATGTGTTTGGTACAGGGTCTCATTATGCAGCTCAGACTTGTAGTGATCCTTCTGCTTTCAGCCTCCCCAGTGCTGGGATTACAGGCATGTGCCACCACACCTAGTCTTGGTGGCCAGCGTGGCAATGGGGAAGGGACTGAACTGGGTCCCTGTGCTTGCCTAAGTTGGTACTTAGTCCACTGAGCTATCTCACCAGCCCAATTAAGACTTTTCTTAGGAGAGCTTTTTTTTTTTCTTTCTGCTGTGGAATTTTGTCCTTAAAAATTAATTTTCATTTAAACATGATTAAAAGTAGAAAAACCTATGTCCTAGATACTGATCTCTTTCTAATGAGCTTTGTAGACCACTTGACCTTGCTGTTGAACATTCTCCAACTTATTCCAAGAAGTTTTTAATAAACAAGACAATCCATGGGGATGTTTTTTAACCAGCCCTTCTTGGTGCTAGAGAGTTGGCCAGCTGAAAGACAGACCTTTAACTGGGAGCTCTTCTGTATTTGTCATAATTCCTGGACCTTTTTGCCTTTATCCTCCCAGGAGGTGATGAGTGATCCAAGCACAGTGCTGGGATTGGAGGAAAAGCCGGCAAGAGTGAGCCCAGCGCAGTAGCCCACCTCAGGGACACTCAGCCTGCACTTGTTTGCAGGAGGAGCGCGCATGCTCAGGCCCTCTGGAAAGCCTTTCCACATGTCAGATGGACACAAGACAGGAGATCAACCTGAGCCAGGGGCTTTGGCTCTAGAATGGTGACAAAGTTAAATCCCTAAGGAAAAGATTAAAGTGGGGCCCAGGGATCAAAGGTCCCTGAGTGGTACTGTCCCCATCCAAATGGCCTCAGCCAGGCCTGGTCCTGTTATTAGAGGGAGCAGGGGCTGCTCATGGTCTTTTCATTCTCCTCGGTAGCATCACTCCACTCTGCTCTGGTGACTCAGACCTGAGCTGGAGGAGGCTGTATGGGAGAGATAGGCCAAACTGCAGAGAAAGAATGTGGCCAGGAAAGAAGGGCGCTGTGATGGGGCCAGGGGTAGGGATCTGTGTTGTCCTCACAGGAGCTCTCTGCTGTGGGGCCTGACGCCAAGGCAGCCTGCAAGAACTGGGAGAGCAGTGTGTTCGGCCTTTGGTGAGAACTCTGCGCTGAGAACATTGTTTATCCTGTTTACCTTCCTGTGGGAAGCATTTGAGCATGTTCTTGTCAGATCTGGTGGTTTTAGGAGCCAGTTCGTGCTGGGGAACTGTACAGTCCCCTCGTAGCAGCTGTAGCTCCCGGCCTGGCGACCTACCAGACCCCGGCAGGTCAGCTGTGCCATCTGGCTGGCTTCTGCCCTCTCAAGTCAGCTGCCCATCTTCATGCCTAAGGCATGGAGATGACCAGCGCCGCTGAGAGGTGCTCCATATTTTAGAGTTCAAAGAGAGAGGGACACAAGATAGGGCTAGCCTGGCCCTGCCAGGCTCCTGGGACTCCCCTCCTGTAAATCCCAGCTGGGCAGATGCCCCAGAGTAGAAGGCCCAGTCCGCTGGGTCACACTTGCACAGTGGTCTGTTGTTTGGAGTGCAGGGTGCACACTGGTGAGAGCCAGCTCTATCACCTCCGGTGATGCCCCCAGAGACGTGTTCCAGTGAGATGCCCATCACCAGCTCTTCTCCACAGGCAAGAAATTAAGAGTATCAAAGAGGAGCTGCTGGTTTTTAAAGCTATATTTTAACTTTCAGATAAGTCCCTTCTTTCCTCCTGTGCTCCTTTTGCTGTAGTTCTCTATCCACAGAAGGGTTTTAGCACGACATTTTCTATTAGTTGGAACTTTGTACCTGTGAGTCCCACATACCACACCTGAGCTATACTTACCTTCTTCTCATTCCACTGAAAAAGGGAATCAGTCATTTCTGGTGGGCACAAGTGTTGTGGGTAGCAAGTTCTTTAAAGAAAATGAAGAGGAATGGAAGAATTCTCTTCTCAGATGGGGAAATGGAGGCAGATTGCATTTGAATGGCTTTCCCCAAGGTCATGAAAGGCTTGAGGCAGGGCTAAACTAGACTTGCAGAATTCATTGACTAGCTTTGGCACTGTTTCATTATCTGGTCAATCACTTCTTTTTCTTAAGCATGAATACAACAAAAACCTTCCTAAGTGAGTAATAGAATGGGACTGAGGAAAATGTTGGACTGTGAGGGTAAATCTCACTGTCAGTAGTTGATGGCAAGGAGTTGCAAGAGCAGACACTGGGATCTTCAGCAAGTTCCCCTCCCTGGGTGTCAGTCCCCTCCAGCACCTAGCAAAGAAGGGTGTCTGAATGCATCATTTTGAAGGGTCTTCTAATACGACATTTCACATTCTCAAAATAAAATGCACTAAGAATTTTCTGTGTGCCCGTGTGGGGTGCTTGGCCTTCTTGCCCCTGACCTTTTGATGACCGCCACCTCTGGCAGAGCCAGGTGGCTGTCCTGAGGGTGCAGGAATTCAGGGTGCCTCTCTGTTCCTGTTGGAGTCTGTGTCCTTCTAAGTAGATTAGGAAAGGGTTCTTGGTGTCCTCCTAACATTCCTGTGTGAAAGCCTGAATCTCAGTTCCCCTTTTGGAAGTAATCAAGTCCTACAGGAGGGACCCTGGTAAGTGGGATCCATAGCCCTGCAGGAAGGGACAGGAGAGGCCATCTCTCTCCTTCTGCCATGGAAGGAAGAGAGTGAAACAACCATGTGCAAGCCGCACACCACCTCTGCCATCACTCGGCCTTCACAGCCTGGGGACCTGTGTGAAATGAAGGCCTACTTCAAAGCTGCCTGGTGCATGTGACTCTTGTTCTCAATTCAAGCTGGCTAAGATACTAAGTCACTCAAAACACAGATTCTTTTATTCTCTTCAAGGCACTCAGAATGTACACAATGTTCTTATTAAAACTTGAAGGACTCCTGGAACCCTGGAACTGTAGGAACATGATCCAGCTAAAATAAACAGCAAATAAAATAACACAGCTAACCAAATACTTAGAAGTGTAACTTAAAATATTTAGTTTTAAAGAATAAGTAGGGTACAAGATAGTTCACATTTCAAGAGACTTCTTTTTAAACAAAAGTTTGTATGAAAATGATGTTTAAAAGCAAATTACACAACATGTTTGTTTTTTGATGGAAAACAGAATCAGGGGTAATGAGAATAAAACTTGATAATTCTAACTGCATTGCTTATTTGTAGGAATTTCTGAATTACAGTCAGGAGCTATATAAGGTGGTCTGCATCTATAATGGTGATTCCAAAAGATTATGATGGAGTTGGAAGTGTTTGATTGCTTGGCTTTTTAAAGTGTCTCTTTTGATGTTTCTGTGTTTTTATCTGCACATCTACGCATCGCTGTGCTGTAAGTGCTTGGAGGGTGCAGTAGTATGTAATGGGGACAATAAAGCAAATGGCACAGTGCAGCTGTAATAAGTATCCTCCAGGCTTTTTGTGTGTAGACTTTGTGGTGTTCTCATAGTGAGAAGGTCTGTCACCTTATAGCACAGTTTTCAGGAGGTTCCCCATCATTAGGTGACATGCACATGGTGTGTGTTAGGTGATATGCACATGGGATAGTGACAGTGGAAGGCTGATGTGAAAGTGGCCCAAGCCCTTGTAGAGAGCAGCAGACCCACAGCAGCATCTCTGCCCTCCTGTGGAGCTGTCGGGCACACCTGGCTGCCTTAAACTCCTCAGTGCATCCCCACAGGTGGCAGGCCCCAGGCTTCTGTCCCCCAATGAACCACTCAGTCTTGTGTGTTTTGCTTAATGCCTGTGTGGGGCTTGGGGTATTTCTCCCTCAGTAGGTGCCGCTTCTAGCTATGGGTCTAGCATTCCTACCTCCCGGTCTGAGCAGTTGAGCTGAAAGATTCCAGGTGATCTTGTGAATAACACTAGACTTGATTAGAACCCAAACAGAACCAAAATATGAGGGAGCCATCACTAATAGACTATGATAAGGAGAAAACGTTAAATACTGATATCAAGAACTTCAAGTCAACCTTTCTGGGTTTTGGTCTTTTTAGTCATAAAATGAAGGGGAGTAGACTAGGTAATTTCTCCTCTTCCTCCTCTCCTGTTCCTCTTCCTCCTCCTCCTACTCTTCCTATTACTACTACTACTAATAATACTGCTGCTGCTGCTGCTACTACTACGACTGCTACTACTTTGTAGTGCTAGGGATTAAAGCCAGGGCCCCATGCATGCTAGGCAAGCACTCCACTACTGAGCTACATTCCCCAGCCTTTTTCTTTTTCCTTAGGTTTTCTCTAAGACTTTAAGTTGCCCAGACTAGGATTGACTTGTGATCCTCCTGCCTCAGCTTCCCAGAGCGCTGGAATTATAATGCATGCACTATGCCCAGTTCAGCCCTTTTTATTTTATTTGGAGACAGGGACTTGCTAATTTGCCAAGGCTGACCTTTAATTTATGATCCTCTTGACTCAGCCTCCCAACTAACTGGGATTACAGACCCGCACTATAGCACACAGCATGGACTTTTAAAATCCTGTAACCTTTATCCTCTGCTTTCAAATGAAGAAGCCCCCAAGCTGTCTACTCTGAGCTCCTCCTCTCTGTAGAAGAATCTTCAAGAAGGGATCTGGTATACTCTCAGTTCTGGAGTGCCAGGCCATAGGTTCAGAGTACAGGAAAGTCCTTACTTCCCCAGAGGTAGCAGTTTAGGCCAAATAAAGGAGGCAAGGTTGAAATGTGGTCAGTGATCATGAGCCCATGCAGAGTATTCCTAGCTCAGCACAAAGGGGGGACTGTGATGAAAGCAGGAGGCAAGTCTGGAGGCCCTTCTCAGGACAGAGCATGAGGTAAGCTGCCGAGAGGACCACATGCAAGTGCAGCACCAGAAGCTATTTTCTCTAGTGGTAGGCACTGCTCACGTGCTCCACACCCCTTCCTCCATTCAGCATCAGACAGAGCTCTGTTGATTCCATGGTTTCTGAGAACATGCACTTGGTATTCTGGTCCCTCCCTTCCCAGGCCCTGTGTCTGAGGACCTCCAGCCAACATCCACATGGTCTGTTTTCTT